CATACTCTCTGCTGACATGAGGGAAGGGACTGTACTTGCCATATTTAGCACTTACAGAAATAAAATACTCTTGAGCATCCGCTATCCATTAAAACGCACAATACAAGTAATACAATATGAATGACATTATCCCAGTGTCTCCACCAAGAAACATAATAGGGTAATAAAGAAATCCTCCATCTCTCAAGCCTGTTCTCCTCATTGAGGAGGAAAAGTTAAGACTGTCACACAAGTGCTTGAGACTCCTAAAACAAACTGTATTCTGTTAAAAATTACTTTTTCTGTCTCTTTTAAGATCTAATCTCTAAATGTAACTTCTGACAGTAGAGTAGCAATAACTTAACTCTTGAGACCGTCTCCAGTGGTCTGGAATCACTTAATGAAAATTCCTACCACTTTACCCCTCTTTAAAATACAGAAACTTGGTCATCTTCCTAATGGCTTCAGTAAAGCTTTGGATCAGGCTCTAAATGACAGCACAGATTGAAAGTACAGAAATGTGAACATTTGACTTGTCAGTTTGGCTGCTGAACTGAAAAACAGAGAAGGAAGCAGGAATGGTTTGGATATTTTGTTTCTCCTCAATAGAAAATGCAGGATTTTTTTTGTTGCTGAGTTGAAATTTAATCCAATTTCATTTGGATTAAATACTTAATTTTCATGGTCATGCAAGAAAAGCAAAGGAAGACTCACTCTGGAACACACTTCCATCTGTTGATAATTCTGAGAGGTTGAATGTCTGAGCTGCTACTGTTTTTCCAGCTCGGGAATTTATGCAAAGTGGAACAGGATCAGTAGAACGGATTGAAACCTTTCCTATGGTGTTGTTGGTCACTTTTCAACGTGTGTTTCAATCTTTTTCAGCCAGAAGAGGGAACTGAATCCTAGTTTCCTACTTCCAGAATGAATACTTAACTCCCAGGCCAATAAATGTAAACAGATGATAAGATGTAAGGCTACTTTATATTATTTTCTAGCCAAAATTATTCAGCAAATTCCATTAAAATTCATGACCAGTTGTAGGTCATCAAATGATCAGCAGTGAAACAACAAACAAAAAATGCTAATAATAAATCTAGCTAACTTTAATTAGAAGCCAGAATCCTGATTTTAAGCATCTTCTTATTGCATGAAGTTATCTTGCTGGACATGAAAGCCTTAAGACCATGAAAGCTGTGACTAATCCAAAGCCTTCAAAACATTTAGGAGGAATGCTAACATTCACACTTTTAGATGAGACTCTTGTCTTTTTACTATACCTGATATCAGTCTATATAGTCTCCAAGGAAGGTGGATTTTCAATTTGTTCTGTGCTACAGAAAGTTTAGACACTTGACAGAACTTACATTACAGTTCCCCTGACACTGTCCTGATTTTCTCCAAGTTCACCCTTCAATTCTGCAGTTTCTGCAGGCAGCAGCATAGGATCTCATCCAATCCTCTTCTGCTGAAGAAACGTCCTTCTCCTATTGTCATCTGCCTACAGTTCCATTCCAAACACTCAGCCTCAAGAGCAGGAATGCCTCTTGATACTAAGAAAATTTGGGGCACTGGGGGCTTTGTGAAAAAAATAAACTGACTGGTAGCAGAAGGACTTAAAAAGTTTGAGATACTGAAAGACAGGACTGGAAGAGTAGTTCTGGGGCAGAAGTGAGGAAATGGAAATGAACAGAGGAAGAAATGACCAAAAGAGATGGAAACTCACTCTTAGTTTCATCCCCAGCTGCTGGTGAAGACTGTGTATGTTCCATCGAGTCCAGACGAAGAGCTTTTTCTATGGAGCCAAAACTCCTAGGCAGGTGTGTCCTAGGTGAGCATCTTGGAAATGTGCTACTGCTCCATGATGGCCTGTAGAGGAAGAGTCTACAAGCAAGTGAGGAGGTGACAACGCCCTGCAACTGCTCAGAACGCTGGGGCACGTGGGTTCTGAGTTCCCCCAGCACCACACAAGTAATGCAGGCATAGGGAAGTCTGGCGTTGGGCAGCATCTAGTGCATTGTTTCAGTCCAAGAAGAGTAATTCGATTTAGGCTGCCTGTCTGTCAATACCGCAGCTCTGCCTGAGGCCCCAAAGCTTTCTGGAGAACTTATAGCTGGCAGTGTCCTCCCACACGGCATCCTTAGGCATGTACTCATCTCCTAATAAACCTGAGAAAGATTAAATAACTGACCACACAGCCTGCAGGGTATGAAGACTGGATTCTGTCACTATTTCTGACTTCATACTTGCCTGCATAGCAAAAGCCAATGAAAACCATATCTTCCCTTTGTATACCCTCTCCATCTCTCCTTCCTTTATTCCTTCTGCCATGAAGCTGACTTATTTGGAGACAAGCTCATTTTGAGGCAGACTTCTACATAATGCTTGTATTAAAAGCTACTTAAATACCACTTAAAGCCAATTTATAGGATAGTTGCAGATGATTCTTGGAAATAACTTATTTTCAAGGCTGCTAGATTCCCATTGTTAGTGCAATATAATTTTTAAATCTTTTAAATAAAAAATCAATTGTCCCATTTCTTCCACACACCAATTGTTCCCTGTTTAAAGGGAATAATTTGAGCTGTTTTTCATCAAAAGTTTTACTATTTTCTCCAACCTTAAAATCTGTCAAGAATAGGTGATTTCAATAGAACCTGAGTACAGCTCTTGTCCTCCAAATAATAAGTACTACTGATTGCTGTTGAACACTTTAAGATTACTTTACTAATATCTCCATTTTGTTTGTATAGTCTCCCATCTACATAAAAGACTTACATAAAAATAAACAGCACAGACAATTGCCCGCTTGGCTTCCCGATATGTTCTGTATAGTCCACTTATGCTGCTCTGGAAAAAACAGGTGGGTCTTCACTGTTAGAAGGAAAAAAACATATGTAAGGTGTTAGATGTTTTTCAAGTACCTGTAGATGTGGGGGCTGCTAGACTAATTTAGTTCAGCATTCCTATCCCAGAATGACAGTATCGATAGCACAGTTACTGTGTCCAAAACCGGGCTGGTTTCCCACATTTGGTGCATTGTTCATTTATTGGCTACAGATACCCCTACGCTTCAATATAGCTGAATCCACGGAAAAGCACGTCATTAAAAATCACTGTATTTGGTTGAGATTTCCAGTCAAGATTAATTAGGTTTTCTTCCAAACACACAGCACAGACAGCAACGCAATGTAGTGCTTTGGTGGTGCTCCACAGTCATGTAACACCTGGAGGAACCTCCATGAATCGGTCCTTCCACTTCCCATTTTTACCATTGCTACAGAAGCAACTCTGAAATTTAAGCGAATGCTCAACATTTCAAAGGGGTAGAGAGTGACAGTGACTAGCGAAACACGAGGGGATTTTTTGTGGTGAAGACAGGCCTATGATCGTTCCTCAGGCCCCTTTACACGGTGCTGACCCAGTCGCTCGCTCCCGGCTCTCTGTGCACCGTTTCCCGTGGGGGAAGGCAGGCCCTGCCGCTGAGGAGGGGGAGGCCCCGGCTGCGCCCAGCCCGAGGCCTCCGGGCCGGGGCAGGGAGAAGGGAGGGATCCCCGTGTGCCCCGGTTGAAAAACGAACACCTCTGGGGGTAGGGATGCGGGCGGGCAGCTAAGGACCGGGACGCGGGGCAGGTGTTGGGGCCCATCCGGGGCGAAGCTGGGAGGGGACGAGGAGGAGCCGAGGCCCCGGGTACCGGCCGCCCCTCACCGGAGACCCGCTCTGAGGCGACGGCCGCCCCCCACCGGAGACCCGCTCTGAGGCGACGGCCGCC